AAGATTAAGCCGTACTACACGTTTAGAAATTTTTTTGAAACAAGGGGAAAAAGATTTGTGTCGACGCTTCCTAAAAATCTATAAAAGCATTTAAAACATCAAGTTTTGCATATGTCACAAATGTCATGTTGGCGTCGAGTGTTTTTCCAACTCATAAAAGTTATACAAATAAAGTACGTATATAAAAAAACCGAATATCTTTTATTTTATTGCGCAATGTTTTCAGAAACTGTCCGAAAAACGGATGTGCAGAATGTTTTCTCGTAAGTGCGTCTATGTTTTAAAAACGGCTGCTGTACAGACTATTCATACGAACGAAAGAGAAAATCGATACTAACACTCGCGTGACCGGACCGCCAATGGGTTCGATAGCCCCGTAACTTCGTTAAAATAATATTTGCGTACCGGCACAATCCGTTCGAGCGTGTCGTACAATGCAGGAGTAGTCTCCTATGACAGAGAACGACGACGAGCAGCTCGTTAGCTTTGGGCGGTTCGCACCCACGGGAGTTACGCCGCGTATTTCGAGCCCGTCACCCGCAAATGGAAAAGCAATCAGCGAAGTCTTCAATACGTCACAAGAATCGAGACTTATTGAGCGCAGAACTTCCAGAAACAGAGGAAATCTATATTCGGCACTTTCAGAAATGATTGTCGCGAATGGAGCAAAAGAAATCTTTGAGAAACGTTGACAAAGTTAAAGGACGTGTCATTAATGGATTATTTTATCGACATATTTAGTTTGCTTTTGTTTCATATTCTGGCCCTATATTTATAAGAAATATTATTAGGCACGAAGAACCGTCTTGATCGTATTTTTCATTCATGTACGTCTTCTCTCTCAATATGGTATATGGTCCATATCTTCCTCAGGAACTCATCGTACAAAGTGTAGTTGGAAAAAGGAGGAGTGTGCGTTCTTGCGAGTGCTGTATAAAATGTTTGTCATTTTACGCTGTCCGTAAGACGTGTGTAATCCATTAGGAGCGGCGTTAAAACTGTAGCCAACAACAATGTATCGTCTGAAACTTTGTGCGGCGTACCACCTCTTCCTTCTCCTTCTCCTCTTTCTCCTACACCTCCTCGTTTTTCGTGACACCAAACAGATCTGTAAACCAGGGCGCGATGCACTCTGATTTCATAGGATGCAATCCCGTCGGTAACGCGCTTTTGCAGCTAGCATGGGAATGCTTTTTGCATTTTCCAAAATTAACGTTCATCGCACGGACAAAACACGATTCGGGTGCGCGCAATGTCCAGGAGTAACATGATTTTTGGCGATAACGCGATTTGCGCGTTCGCCAAGCTGCTCAATGCGTTTTGCAATGCGACACAAAATCACGCGCGATTAATGTGTCGCCCCATTAAACTTCTATCTGCGTATTAAAAAGAATGTCTGTAAATGTAACACACCGAATTTGCGATGAAATCAGTGCGAATTCAGCGGAGTTGATAATGAACGATGGAAAAAGGATGATTAAAAATCCCTGGAATTGCACATAAGATTGCATGTATACAATTTTATATTTCAATATTCTCCATCACAAAAAGAGCGATTTTCCTGGAAAATTTAAAATTTTACTGATATAGATCTGAATATAATTTTGTTGGTCTATCAAAGTAATTATGTTGGAAAATAACATATAATGAGCAGTGATGCAAAAAATATTTTAGTAAGTCAGTTTGAGTTTCCAACAAGATTATGATGATCCAACAAAATTGTACTTTTTATGTAATACTTATTTGCAACATCAGTAATAGGTCACGTATTTGTATATTAATATATTAATTTTCATTCGTCATTGATCAGCGCAACATTTTCTATTTTGCCTACTATGACTTATTGTCACAATATTATTATGTCATAATAAATAATAAGCTGTTACTTAATTCAATCGTGTTCGTATTAGACGGAGGATCATTAAATTGAATTAAGAATTCAACGATTTTTGTCTACCTAGGAATAGTACATCAATATCAAATGTTTAATTATTTATAACGCTGTCTTTCCGTTAATCTATATAATCCCTTTAAGTCATAACTATTTTGATGCTACGTTATAATAAAGTAATAATATTGCACTTAAAAGCTTTAAGTAATATAAGTCATATATTATTTTCCGATGTGTGTATATTTCATCTTCGTCTACTAGAGTTAGTATGCAGCTGTTTTATAAAAGAAGAGATCACGACGAAAATAACTCACACTTAAATAATCACTAAAATCGAATTGGAAACAGAAACTCAATTGTCGCGTTTGGTGCTGTTTTTTGCTCCGAAATATTCGTTCTCACTTCGGTGATGGATTAAAAATTTAATATCCAGTTTGCGAGTTCACTCACGAAGCGAGCAACGTACGAAGGTTTCTCGAGGAAAAAAGGCTCTACTTCCGTAGACCGCCGAAACGTTACGTTCTAATTTTCGTGTGTCCTTTATGCGTTTTTTTTTGTCTTTTTCTTAACGCTCACAGTTGCCACTTTTGCACAAACATCTTAATCTGTAAGTATTCTAATAGAGTGCAAGAAATACAAGATTATAAATTATAATATTATTTATTATTATTATATATTATTAATTTCTAATAATAAATTAGAATATTATATTTCTTTTGTAATAAAAATTTATTGCGCTTGGTATAAAGCTAATCTAGAACACACACGTAAGCTTGTTTATTTATATCCAATAGATTCAAATTTCCAACAAAAATAATCTCAATACACTTGCTAAGCAAGAATTATTTTGAAAAATGATCGTGCATTATATATATTTATCTGGAGAATTGATATTATTGGATATTATTGCTTCAAATTAGTCACTTTTTACAGGATAATAATTGCTATCGATTTATTTTAATTGCAACACTCTGTACTGCTTTCACAGATGCATTCCCATTCTCTTTCTTTTTCTCTTTCTATCTTGTAGGATGCATTCTCTGACAATGGTCAATTCGCAAGCATGTACATACATATGTGCTCGTAAAGTACCGTATATGCGATCGAGCGTTCAATAAAATTGGCATCACACAGACTGGCCGCGCGTTATCTACTTTAGCGAATAATGGCGTGGAGTGGATCCCAAATTGAAGTTTCGAATTAAACCGTCCGGATGATTCGTCTCATCTATCGGGGTTGCTTTAAGGCTCTGGCGCACAATTTTGTTGTCGGCAAACATGACGCCGTAGAGACTAACTGACTTTAATGTGAAATTATGGTCTCCCGAATTAATTTGTCGATTCCTGCACCGCCTCGAGGAGCGAAGCGGAGGCATCTGAAAGAGGATAACTACGGTGATGAATATCTAAATTACTCATTACTGAACTTGTCCGTCACTCGAGTCGCTTGATTACACCTGAATAAAAGTATAACGATGAATAAAACTTTGACTTGCAATTCAGTGAAGTGATAATTGACAACAGGTAAAAATGCTTTGCTATAAATTAAAACTATACTAATTACTTGTTAATATAAAATATAATTAGATTATAGTGAAAATTATTTATAGTGCTGATTAACTCTCCGTCTGCAATTTGAATTTTGGGAAAATTTTATTCAAGTTTCTCCGAAATAAAGAAGGAATGAATCTTCTAAAATATCTCGTAATAGAATTGAAAAATGATTCTGAATTTTTCCACATTTTTTGAAAATCTAATCCAGAACTTTTAAAAAAACTTGGACGAGATAAAAAAGATCCTGATTACAGACGGAAGAGGAGTAAAAAGTATAATTACAGACAGATGGTTGAAATCAATAAAATAATTTATAGCTGAAGAAATCTTAATGCCATTCTACACAGTGCAAAATACGCAGTAGTATCTTTCTTGCAACACACAAAGTCACGTTGGTCTATTTCAAAAAGCTCGTATCTGACTCTCTTTGAGGGTGGATAAATCGCAGTCACGTGTTTACCGGTCATCTTCCCATCCAGCGGCGATGTCTCGCATACGAGGAGGTAGCTTCTGACGGTGGTGCGAAATTTTCGCGATCTCGTTTGACGCGCGACGGCGCGAAAAAGTGCATTCGCGCACCTATGCACTGCTAACTGCATTCAACGCACGTCCCGCGAGTTTATCTCGGCAAAGAGAGGCTGACATATTGGGATCGTTCTGGTCGTCTGGCCGCGTTTATGTACCCTCTCTGCGCGCCAGCTCAGTACCCCAAATGGGATCGTCCTTTTAGTTCTTTCTTCATCTTCTTTTTTCTTCTGCTCAAACGTAACGTCTAGCAGTTAAGTCACTTCTTAAGTCCACGGCTATCATATTTCAATTTTTTTTTCTTTTTATTTCTATTACAGCTCTAATGATGAAAAGTAAAAAAAAAATCAGAGCGAATATAAAATTTCAATATTTTTCAAATATTATATTGTATTTTAATTAATCATTAACCCGGGAATAGTCATTTGATTTTATGTAAACTTGGCATGAAATTGCTGCATGTATAAATACTGATAAGCAATCAATGTTTACTGATAACTCGTTACATTAATCGAATAGCTAATATTGAAACATTACTAATATGATGTTATCTGTTGTTAACCATAAAATCGAAAGACAATTTCGTAGAACATATCGATAAGCACGTTAACGCGCAAAAACATGGTCTACTGAAGCAGTTTGAGGATTAAACGATATTGCTGGATCTAATATTGCATTGAAAAATCAGTTATGTCTCGCGATAATGGAAACGCTGGCCATTTGCCAGACAACATAACGTTAATCCCACGACAAAATTGCAGATTTTTTAAATTTTATTCTAGAATTGCTTGTCGTTTTTATTTTATACACGATTAATGATTGTCTATATTTATTGTTGTTTGTATATTCGATAAATCTGTATTGAAAGATTAAAGAACAGCATCTGTGTTACGCAAATAATGTAAATGTGATAAATATAGAGTTTTGTTATTTATTCATTAATCTTAATTTATATCTAAATCTATTTTTATTTATACGTTTATCTATGATATCCAGACAACTATTATAATTATGCTATTTTCTCGTTACAGGTGTAGGATGAAACAATGGAGACAGGATCTGCCACCGACTTCCGTTATAATTACTTTCCACAACGAGGCACGGTCTACACTACTCAGAACTGTCGTCAGGTAAGTTAGAAACAACTTTGTTTTACGTAAAATGTAAAACAATTACGCTCAACATTTAAATCTATCATTTTTTAGCTTGTTATTTTATATATTTTGTACGTAAATAGATAAAGAAATTTGCACATTTATTTCTTTTTTGTTGCAAATGGATAAGCATAAAATAGAAAATAATTATATAAAATAAATAATGATTATTTAATCATTTTGTAAAAACAAAAGGATTAAATAAATTCTGCGAATAAAGTATATATTTAATATGCGAATATTTCTGCAAACAAATATAAAGCAATTGTCCATGGGCAAATTCTCACGCGATCGTATAGATAGATGGTACGTACGGCATGGCGATCTTCAATTCTCGATGCATCAACGGGTTGCGGGAAGCGCGTGAGGATTCTCAATTCGAAAGTGGGCGATAGCAATGGAATTTTCTAATCGTCGTTCCATCGTTTTATTCCTCATGTTTATTATGCGCTCGTACACACGGACGTGACGAACCGAAGAATTCGAAAGATCTGCGATATAAGAAGAATGTCAGAATACGAAGAAATATCATTTTGCTTCTTCTCATGACGGATAATACAAAGTTGACTAATGATGATTTAATTAATTTGATTTCAACAGTAAATTTTTAATTTGTTAAAATTACAAATGAGACTTTCAACTTGTATTTATATTTTTCTAAAGCATCTCACATTTTTTATGTAATAAAGAAGAAATGAAACGAAAAGAATAGTAGATTTTTTTCAGAGATTTATGGTTTTACTAGTTCTTGCTTTAACCGTGCAGTTCTTCCAATTTTATTCTTCGACTTCAGCGATTAAAATATTTCGTTTTGTACTTTTAACTGATTCTGTCCGTTTTATTAGTTTCATTTATCGTCTATTCAGAGACATAAATCGCTACATTTTTTTCATAACGTTTTCTATTAATTAAAACATTTTTTTTATTACGCGACATCCCGCTAAAGGAAAGTACGAGCCACATTACTCGCCGGAGGTAACCTTCGTGCAAAAGTTGCTCGAAGTTCTCTCGTCGAACCGGAAGAAGGAAGCAGGCAAGAGTCGGAAAATTTAAGTCCGTAACATGGCGGCGTCAAGAAAATATATCGGCCCTATCGCGTTGGATCGATAAAATTAAAAGGAAGTCTTAATTACCGCGACGAGATCACATTTCACCACAATCTCGATACGACGCGCGAAATTCTGCGCGATCGATTTCACATCTTGTTCAATGTTTTTTTTTCAAACATTAAGAGAGAAGAGAAAAGCAATATATACGATACATCTTAACAACTGAGAACAAATTTATAAAATAATATTTTATTGTTTTAATCGATACACAATCACGGTAAAATTATTGACGTTCACGATTAACTTAAGAAATAATCATAAAGTTTAAACTTTTTTCATTGATATATATGAATATGGTTTTAATTAGAAAGAAAATTCTCTAATTATTTGCGATTCACACAATCCTCTTAATTCTAAACTCACGAACAGAATAGGACGGGGCAATACGAGAACGTTCAAACAAGGGACAAGTGGTGCACTAAGTCTTCGAAACTTTGATAAAAGATTCAATGGGACAATTCCCGAAGCTTCTGTTCTTCTCTTAATCTCAGTTTATTCGACGTTAATCGACCGGAAAAATTTATATAGAAGTGAATGATAGTAATTCAACAAAGAAATGGCATATCGGGCTTTTAAATTGAATCTCGAGAAAAAGCGTGTTACGTTAAAAATTGATCTTATGTCAATATTAACATTGAAAATATTACCGTATTTAACATAAAATGTATATAATGAAAAAAATGATAAAGCATTGTTGCGTATCATTTCTCATATTTAATTTGTTATCCGCAAAATTTCTGAAATTATAAAATAATAAAAAAGTTAAAATAGTATAGCAGTATCGGTAAATGTATTGAAAAAAATTAATATTTAACTTTAAATTGAAAGTTTTTACTTTTGCTTTTAGTGTGCTGAACAGAAGTCCCGAACATTTAATCAAGGAAATCATTTTGGTGGACGATTTCAGTGATCATCGTAAGTAGTTTTATATATTAATAGTATTATATATTATATTAATTTATCAGTTTTAATTTTCGAAAAATGTAATATTATTTACTTCTAAGCAGATTTTACATTCTTTACTTAATTCATAAACTATAATGTACAACAAATATAATATGAAATGAATCGTAATAAAATCTGATATACAAAATTAGAAGTGAGTGAATTACTTGCGGATCAAGCCGCTACGAAGATAATACAATATTTAACGCAATTTAATGCAATTAAAATGTTAATTATATGTATATTTATATGTAATTATGTTTAATGTAATGTTAAACACAATTTCAGAAAATTGTGTTTAATATTACATTTCATATCATGTTTAATGTCATTAAAAGATAACTTGTAACTATTTCATCATTTATGACGTTTACCGCTCTAAACAGAGTGTCATTAAATAATGATTTTGGAATTTGAACTCTTTTACATGCTTAATACTTTCAATCTAAAGTTAATATTTGCTTAATAAAGAATTATTTGGATTGAGTAATAAACTTTGATTGAGTAATAAACAGATGACACCATTTTCAGAACAATAAATATTTTACAATGAAATGCAAGATAAGTTAAATTAATGTAAAATTAAAAATATTATATAGTAAGAATATAGAATAAAGATTGATTGATTTGTTTGCAGCCGAGGACGGCGAGGAGTTATCGCGAATCCATAAAGTTCGTGTGATCCGAAATGAGAAGAGAGAAGGCCTAATGAGATCGCGTGTCCGTGGTGCGGATGCAGCTACCGCGAGTGTGCTAACGTTTCTAGATTCGCATTGTGAATGCAACGCCGATTGGCTCGAACCACTTTTGGAAAGGGTAGCTGAAGACCCAACCCGAGTGGTTTGTCCTGTGATCGATGTAATCAGCATGGATACTTTCCAATATATCGGTAAGTATCAATGGAAATCTCGACATTCTCTAAAATTGCATGTTTTATACATGGAGAAAAATGTAAAGTAACATGCACTAAAATTTTAGTAAAGTTTATGGAATTGGCAGATCCATATAGGGACAAGCGCCTACTTATGTAAAATTTACTTTACTTTTCTGGTATCAGCAATCGTTGTATAGCCATACCATAAGATACTTTTTACATTTCGTAAAATAAATTTTGAAAATTGTTTGCACAGTCTTGAGAATAACATAGTTTACTATCAGATAATAATCACTTGAATGGTTTACTATAATTGTGTAATGCATAATTGTAACGTTTTACCTTCAATATTTTTACTTTCAAACAAGTGAAATTTGTCATAAATTCATCAAAAATAAATAGCCAGAAAAATTTTACTAGTCTTGTAAAATAAAAATTTCTCAACCATTTTTCCCCGTGTATAGCGATAATTTGTACTCTATGTTGTAAATAATTGGAAATATCTGAACGAAAGACAATTTTATCTTGTTTCTAGGAGCTTCCGCCGATCTTAGGGGTGGTTTCGATTGGAGTTTGGTCTTTAAATGGGAATATCTCAGCCAGACGGAACGACAGGCGAGACAAAAGGATCCGACACAAGCCATTAGAACCCCTATGATTGCTGGCGGACTGTTTGTCATCAACAAAGCGTACTTTGAGAAACTCGGCAAATACGATACTCAGATGGATGTTTGGGGCGGTGAAAATCTCGGTAAGACTATTTACAGTTTTATGTACAAAGTATTTGGAAATTTCACAGAAATTACACGCACATTCTTGTGTATAATTAAATTCTTTCAACCGCATTGCTCTTTTACAAAATATGCAAAAATATTTTATCTGAATATTTGTGCATCAGCGCTATATATGTATATTTATATTCATATCCATTTTCTAAAGGTAATATTATTTTATTTTAACAAAATTGTAAATATACTTTGAAAGATATTACATTGTGATGGTCAATGTACTTTTACAAAAACTTTGTTTCAAGGCACGCGCAACTCATGATGAATATTTTGCAGCAGAATAAACTTTTTATTGGATCAATACAGTCGGAAGTTATAATTTCTCAACAAGTTTTAATGAGTGCTTCCCATTAAATTTTATTAAAAAGCATCATACCGGTGTAAATATTAGCTCATTCATCACTGTATCAGACAGCTGTGCAAATAAATGCTTGAAAATAACTCAGTTCGAAAGTTTGCAGAGAATTGCTGTTGCTTTCTCAATACAATTTCTATTCATAGCGCACATAATAAAAATTTTTTATTTAATTTTATTTTTCATAAAAAATCCATTTAAGAGATAATTTTATATTAAATTTATTCTGTAAAATAAAATTTTAAATAAGATTTATATTTAAACGTTTAATTAAAATATACATTTATAATGCAAAATTAATGTGTGTCACAAAACTTTTTATTTGAAAGTTGTCAGAAAAGTGTTGTATCTATTATTACGCTTTTCAAAAATACGAAGGAAACGAACTCTTTGACAGAAACTACCATCTTGTGTGCAGTTTGTAAGAACTTTGTGGAAAACACGGCAAGCAAACCAATATATGTCGGAAGTGTGAAGTTAGAAATAACTGCGACCCCATTTCGGACAGAAGAGAAATTGTTGAGTTTCTTTGGAAAAGTCTAACGCTATTTTAGTTTAGCATAACTTTGATGAAACCTCTACATTAAAATAGTATTTTTCAATAGCTAGCAAACCTTTGCAAATGTATATTTTAAAATGTAATTTTATATATAAATTTTTATTAGAATCAACCACCTTTGAAATGTTCTACATGAAATATAAAATAGTACTCTTTATTTTATACAGAATATAATACTCTTTATTTTATACAGAATATAATATAACTTGTTATTTTACATAGAAATGATAGATATTTTTTTAACATTCTTTTAATATTTAATCTGTAACACAAGACAGCTTACGAAAGGAATAATATGAGGCAATGCGATAGAGAGGGAAGTTTATGCATTTTCTCTTTCTATATCCTTGGCATCTTTGTTCTCACGTTGAACATTTGTACTTACTGCGTGCACTTGTAACTTTCTTTCAGAAATATCGTTTCGTGTGTGGCAATGCGGTGGCAGCTTGGAGATTATCCCGTGCTCACGTGTGGGCCATGTATTTCGTAAACGTCATCCTTACTCGTTCCCCGGAGGCAGCGGAAACGTGTTTGCTCGAAACACGAGGCGCGCAGCCGAAGTATGGATGGACGACTACAAGCAGTTCTACTACAACGCCGTACCGTTAGCACGAAACATCCCTTATGGAAAGTAAGTCTGGATGCGCACTGACGTCTCAATTAAACTTTAGGCAATACTCTAGCTGATTTTCCTCCATTTAATCATAACTATTATTTAATACCACATTAAAGTTTGTGATAGATCGAACACATGAATATGCATAACAATTATTTTTTTTAATTTTATATTGTAGTCTAGATATATTTATTAAGTTAAAGACAATATAGAGTGTTTATTTGGAAGATACAAAATTATGTTAATCATGAGCAATTATATCTTTCAGCATACAGGATAGAATGGAGCTAAAACGAAGACTACATTGCAAGCCTTTCAGTTGGTATCTGAAGAACGTATACCCTGAATTAGTTATACCTACGAGTGAGGGTGGTCCAGGAGGATCTCTAAAACAGGGTACCGCCTGTTTAGACAGCATGGGCCATCTTCTCGATGGAAACGTTGGTCTTTACCCTTGTCACGACACTGGTGGTAACCAGGTGAGTATTTTTTAATTAGATTAAATGAGATTGAATGATAATTGAGATCCAGTCAAGTGTGCTTGAACAAATTTTGCAAAACGTCCGCTGATAAATTTTGTCCGCGGGAAGATTATAAATTTGACGCTGTTATATTGGATGCTGAATAGAATGCCACAACGAATAGGTGTAACAGAATTTATTTACATGATTTGAAATTGGTGATAGAAACCGAGTATGCGGATTGATAGCAGAAATCGAGTAGAATTTGCATTCGACAGGTTCTGTTTGATTTCTGTCGCCAAGTTACTGTCAAGTTCTTCTGCCAAGTTGTATGTTGACAGGCTCTATTGATAGAACACGAGCTTAATATGGACACAGATGGTACCAAATCTGCTGAATTTTTCTGTTTTGTTGAATTTGCTGCCAATTTGTTGGCATTCTAATTATAAGTTTGCTTATTAAGTAATTATTTTAAACAATTTTACAAAACCAACGTTTTGCAGGAATGGGGCCTCACGAAGGATGGCTTGATCAAGCATCACGATCTCTGTCTGACCTTACCAGTATACGCCAAGGGTACGACGCTGCTAATGCAAATCTGCGATGGTAGCGAAAACCAGAAGTGGCGACACATGGAGGGTGGTCTGATACGCCATACCAGAATCCCTGTGTGCGTGGATTCGCGATATCACGCGCAACGTGGTATCACGGTGGAGAAATGCGATTCGAACGCAGAAACGCAGAGGTGGCATCTCTACAATCACAATCACTAGCTGATATGGTTGCGGTGAACACGTTCACCCGCAGACTCTCTCTTATCACTATACGCCACGATGTGATCACCATATAATGAAATCCACCACGTCAGAAGTGCGTTATATTGGACTGACTGCGCGCGAGCGGATCGATTCAGTTACTTATCGTAGACCGACGCAATCTTCATGACCGCAATTGGAACTCTTCACGATCTCTTTTATGTGGTATCGATGAAGAATCCTATTTTACCACACTGACTTCTACGTGAGTTAAGGCTCGGATGGTACATTTGGATATATATAGAAGAAATTTGAGGAGTTCCCTCTATTGAAGCTACAAAAAGTGGTACACGCTAACCAAAACGGAAATAATTTCGCAAAAGAAAGTGAAAAAACTGTTTTAAGACTGCTTGATATATGTGACTCTAATCAACAATTTTTAGTTTCTACATCTATAAGGATTCTATCGCTTCCAATCGTTTTCTTAGGCACTAGATCATCCTACTTTTACATTGACAAACGATTAATCTGATAGGATGATGTCTCGCGATCGATGTGTGATAAGTGTAAAATTATTTATAATATAATATATAAAAAATATGGAAGCGTGTGTATGAACGGTGATGCAAATGGAAGTTGTGTAAGATTTTGGTACTGCAATCCGATTATGCATACTGTTTCAAATATCGAATTTATAAATTGCGATACTTTATACATTGTATGATTGATTTAAAACAAACGAAAACCATATAGTCACTCTTAACATTTTTAGCTTCGAAGAAATTCATAAGGCACAAAAATTTCTAATTTTTGAAGGTGTTATAAAAATTGAATTTTTAAAAATAATTGGGAGTGCATACGCGATGAAATACCGTATATTTTATAATTGCCAGATGATTCATTTCTTTAAGAGATTACACAAAGATTGAAAGAAATATAAAGTATTACGTGTGGGAAATAATTTTTCAATTCACAATATTTTTTCAAAATTCATACACGATATAGACATAAATACTTATATACAGAGTTTTCTTAGAACTTTTGCTGATGAAATTTATATATTCAATTGAATCATATAATAATTCAATTTAGAATTATTATATTATTAATTTTCAACTAAATTGGAAATAGAAAGAATTTGGATTGAAAGCAAATCTATAAAACCGTATTAATGCTTTTAATGGAAATTAATGAAATTAATGAAACCATTACTGAAGGAGTGATAAAAGAATAATACAAAATCGAATTATTTCTTCTTTTTTTATATAGTATAATAAAAAATAACAAGAGTTTTGTTCATGGAACAAAAAAGTTGATTAGAAATTCGAACATTCAAAATAGAATTCTAACATTCAATTGATTTTTCAGTGCAATCTAAGCTGATAATGTCTTTCGTATGTATGTTTTTTATTAAATCCATAAAAAAGGATTTATAATATATAGGTGATATCGAGTTATTTTTAGTACGGTTACGTACTCGAGTGTCTAATCGAGAGCAGTTCGTCTTTTTTTATATATTTATTTACGTACAATTCTTTAAATAAATAAGCCAAAGCTTTTACACTTGGCTTTTTGTTTTAAATAATTGATAGTTTTATCACAAATACCATTTTGAGATTACGCTTTTATGCAAATCGCGCGGAGAAGTTTTTCGCTACTTAATCGGGAATATACGCGCAGAACCAATTATAATTATATTACGTTATCGATGTACCACACCGTTTAATTAAAAATACTTAATTTTAATGAAGTATACATAATTTCCGTATCTATATTTAAAGAATTTGAAAGACGCTTTGCAATTGTACTGAAGCACAGATACAAGAAGCTTCTCAGCGATTGAAATCGCTATTTTGACCGGGCCCAAAATCATGCTAGGTTCAATGCGTATTCTTTTTATCTAATCTTAGTATCGGCGCATCTAAATCCGCGAATATTCTACTTCTCAATTAAACAACAAATTGCGATGAACAAAATGCTTTCCCTTTAAAAGCATGCGTAAAAAAGAGATTTATTTTTGTAACTAATTGTATACTTACTTGGTTGTGCGAATAAATGAAAATCGCGGGATGTATGTGAATACTTAACATATTGTAGCTCGTTAATAGCATTTCAAAAATGTGAATTTCTACTTTTTAAAAGCATGTATTAATTTTCAAATCTTCCAACTTAAATATCTTTTCCAACAATTTGGAATTTAACTCTTACTTTAATCGCAGCTAATAATAGAAGTTCGATTTCTCGGTAAAAATTAAATTATAAAATCGAAAATTCTTTCCCAAGAGAATAAACCGAATCTAAAATAAAACTGCAGCTCCATATGGATTTATTATTCGTCTACAACGTGTTAAGTGAAAAGATTGAAGCTGACGCAACTAATTATAGCAATACATATTAACAGACACAGTCTTTTGTACACTTATACTTTCCGATGATAATGTCTTACTGCCGTCTCTTCGCGCTGAGACTAAATATCGCGAAGTGAGATGAATAATATCGTATATAAACTTTTGTATAATACACACGGGCATCCATATTACATCTACGCTAGCTGTTGTAGCAAAATCATCTGTTAAGACATTCTTTTGATATCGATATTGTATGCGTAGAACGATAATATACTTTTCATGTAGATATAATATGCGACCAATGAAGAAATTGGTCGTGCCCTAATTAAACGATTGCGATATTATAATAATCTCGAGTCGCTTCTAAAAATCAAAATGTCAAGAAAATTTACTGATTTTTATCGTTTTATTATCGCAATAAGAACGTTT